CGATCGTCGCAACGCGACGATTCGCTGAAGTAATTCTCTTGGAATAAAACACATTACGGTAAAAGTTGCAATATCGTTGGAGTATGACACGTAGTCGTAGCTTTGGTACGATGAAACAATGTTCGTTCAATTAGATCAAGTTGCCTCGTTCGAATCATCGTCGTGCTGTCCACCTAAAGAGTAATACTCTTAAAACAACCTCTTTATCTATAGAAAGAACTTTTTCGACCGTGTTGAAGTTATTGTTGCTTCAAACGTAGGTAATTTAGCGATTAACGTACAAAGAATTTCTTTCGTCGGTTAAAAATCCTTCAAACCGCTAACAATTTTCAAGACCACTTAACTCGATGTAAGCTACTTTATATTTCGATTTCATTCGTTTCTTTCTTTCAAAATTCTCTATACAGAGTTACTATATTGTACGTCACTAACGATTTGATTTCCTCGGGAAGGAACCAGCAGGGTATCCGTGTTCCAAGTATCGAAGTTAATCGGCCGATTTCACCTGACTTTACAGTTTCTTCTCTGTGTACGAGATCGTTATTGGTTTTACGACTAAATTTCATCCGTCGGGAAATCCCGAGCTCCATTTCGTCAATAACAAAGGTCTTTGATTCGATTGGCCCGATCGATGGATCGGTGTGCAACAAGCTCGCAGTTCCTTCCCCGACAAAGCAACTCTGATAGCTATACGCGCTACACGTTCGCGTATTTATGTGGCATCCTTGGAGAAAAGTGTCTTTCCCTCGCGTTTTATCGCGTCATCTCTCACTTAATTATCCTTGATCGATCATCGATATATTATCGATAGTTGGAAATCGACTTGCAAGAAGGATCAATACGCAAATTTTATTAGATACCTCTTTATTTGCTCTTTTATGCTTATAACATTTTGTTCATATCAGATCTGAATTTTATCTGGTAGTTACTTTTTAATTCTATTCCGAATAGTTTCGATTCGGCTTTTATAGAACTCTATGGTCTCAAAGTGATACCAACAACGTTTGACGATCCCAAGATAAACGAGTTTGAAAGTGTTGCTAATAAGCTTTTGTATAGACGTGTACGCGGTTACGAGAAACGCAAAGGTCCAAAAATATGCAAAATGTACAAAGTAAGATGCTCGTTACAATTCATAAGAACACGAATCAAGCACATTTATGAATTTATCGTATGACAAATAATCCAAGTACACGATAAGGAACCGTAGACCGAAATACAGTTTAAATACAGTCGCATCCAAGTATGGAATAAGTAGGATCTGTTGAATATAGAGATCCATTTTGTTCTATCAAAATAGAGATCACAACGTTCGACAGATTAGGTTTCATGTTTGTTAAGGTAAAGAAAGGATTCGGAAATACAAATCGTTTACTTTATTTTACACACAACAGCTATACAATATATCTTACACTCTGAAGACCTCGACAACCTTTTTGCACGCACGCTTGTTCTCAACCGACTCTTCCAGATTCTTCTAACATCTGGCAACAGTCGTTTGTCTCCACTAAGACCTGGACACCCTCTGATGCTTACACACACATTCACATGTACAGTGTAAATGTATTATCTACCCAACAATGTTTGTATGAAGATGCATTGTGTCTGCAAAAGAAAGACACTTTCCGGACAATCTAATACTATGGGTTTGGCTCCTACGGATGAGATGTCGCCGGGGCCCAGGTCAGAGATGGCCATGTTGTTACTGTTTTCTGACACTGGAACACTCTCTAAGTTGTTGTTTCGATGGCCTGCGGGATATTCGTTAGACCCCTTGGTTTTTCTGTCGCTAATTTCTGGCTCTGTGCAAAGTTATATGAATATTAGAATAAAATTCTTTGTAATACCTCTCCAAAGTCCTCTCCATATTTTGACAGGATCCATCAGTGTACGGCAATAGAATTCATCGATCTCGTTCCTTGCCGATGTTGTCCGGAACTCTGACTAGACGAGCACCTCGACTCGAAGATGGTTGCAGGCAGATGTCTTAACCGAAGAATAACGTTAGCCGAGTCGCACAACTTTGAAGTAGCGTTAACCACGACTCGGTGGTAGTAGCAACCGAAATCCACGACACCATGGTGCCAGCAGCAGAATCCCACGTCCTCGAAAACAATTCCTCTCTTGAGCGAACCCCTTGTAAATGAAACAGGATGGGAATAAATGGACCGATGGAAATTTAAAGGAGAACTTGTATTTAAAGTCGCGCAGCGATACGTGTAATTTAAACGAATTAGAATAGAGCAGAGACGATTGATTGGAACACGACAGAATGGAATAAAGATAATAGATAGATGTGTTGAATTAGGAAAATTGTTTAATGATTTTACCGCGTTGTCGTATTCTAAGAAACAAAATGAAATTCTTCAATTTTGTCGTCATTTCGATTCTCTCGTTACAGTTTTGGAACTTACGGTTACGACAAACAAGAGAACGTAGGATCGTTGATGTTTGAGAAAATGGAACACAGAAAGTTTCGCGTCACAGCTACCAGCATATCTTCTTTAATCGCAGCTCGTAACATAGGGGAGAATAAACGAAGAAACAGACGAAGTACGAGCAATAGTTGAACGAGTGGAGAAAGTTGGAGCATCGACATAGAAGACATTCGTATCTTCCAACAAGTTTTTATAGTTTACTAGACTGCGAATTTTTACGCAACTCGGTATTTTTATTAACGCAACTAAAGAAATGTCTATATAAAAGTACATCCATCGAACGAGATACGTTAAGTTTACGTAATTTTAACGCAAGTTTAATCACTAAGAACTACTTTTAGAAGGAAACAACTTTATTTTCAGTATTTTTTATATTTTCATTTGTACATTATACGATATACTCGAATATTCAAACTCGCAACAGCAAACATGATACAACAAATTTACCAGGAAACATTTAATTTTCATCGTGTTTTACTCGATCTGATAGCTTCTTGATAACGAATCTTATTATTAACGAAGTTGCATTAACAAAGGCCAAAGTTCACACAGCGTTCCTTTAATAATCCGTATGCGTGTGTTTATCATTTAATTAACGAGATACAAACACATCTTGCTTTAGAATCTAATAAGAAGCCGTAAAGTTGCCCGGTTACCTTTGAAACAAACGCATACGGTAACTCTAACATCGGCTTCATAAACTTTATAATTTCGCATTGTGCTTGTTAATCCGGTTCTCGCGAAGCTTTCGCGCACTATCGATCCGTGTACCTACATTGAATTTTCTCGACTTCGAGGATGAACTCGAATGACCTGGCCAATCTATCGGATAAGATTTCGGCTATTACAATAAGACGTGATTTTCTGTAACTTGTATGGTCGTCATTTATTTTTTAGTCGGTGAAATTTGTGATACGTTTAAGAGCTTGTTGTTAAGACGAAATTAGGAGATTAAAAAACGAGGAGAATGGAAGGAAACTGATATATTAAAGCTAACATTAGGATAAAAGATTTGCATAGAAAGCAGATGGTTGAGGATAATTAAATCGTATGTATATAAAGATGTAAATGTAAATGTTTTATATTAAAGAAATCGTTTTGAGATTTAAATCGTAATATGCAAAATAGGCGATATAGAAAATTGATGGAGTGGTCGGTACAATTAAAAAAACTTAATAAATAAGGAATTTTTAATCAATCTGAAATGCTACAGAATACGAAAAGTAGGAAAAGAAGGTAAGCGATGCTTTCTGATAAATTATAAAGCTAACAATACAGAATCTGTTCTAATATTAAAGAGATTTGTAGCGATACCTACTTACATACACGTAGCGAGCAAATTATCATAGAAACGAGAAGGCGAAAATCTACCGCTCGTTAGAACAATAACGCGGTTGGTGTACGTATTATTATTATTATCCTTCCGATATACTATTTCAAACCTTTACATATTTTATTCCTTTTATCCCAGCTAATCTATTAATACCAGCTTTCTAATTACAATTTCCATTATACAATCTGTTATAATCTATTATAATCTATTACTATCACCTTTCCAATTAATCCACCAACACAACATCTGCAATATCGAATATCGAAAATTACTGTTCGCGCGAAAAAACGAAGAAAAGTGCATAAAAAGCGATAAAAAAAAAATACACGCGAGACGATTAACGATGCTCGAAGCATGCGTTATCGCTTTTAATATTATCGAATACAAAACCCTCTACTTGTGTAGCGTTAAAAAAAAAGAAAAAAAGGAGGAAAAAAGAGAAAAAGGTTGCAATTTCCTATCGGACAATCGAAACGGTCTATGACGACGACATTCATCGAAAACACGTTTCCAACTCGTCACCGCCGGTTCGTTTCGACGAAGAAGCGTCGACGACGGAACCACCGGCATTTTCATTATCGGACATCGGTCGCGAAATCGAAGCGGCGACAATTTCGAGCGCAAGCGGCGCAAAGTTTGCCGCGCGAACGG